TCAGTATTTTTGTCACATTAGAATTCAAGCAGAATTCTGGGGTTAGCCAGGGGAAATCTGATTAGAAATGATTGAAAATGTTTCCATTATTTTAGTCATTTTAATAAATGATTGATTAATATACTTCAAAGTTGGGGATGGTTTGTTTGTTTCTTTTTTTTTTTTTTGGTTTTTTGAGACAGGGTTTCTCTGTGTAGCTTTGCGCCTTTCCTGGAACTCACTTGGTAGCCCAGGCTGGCCTCGAACTCACAGAGATCCGCCTGGCTCTGCCTCCCGAGTGCTGGGATTACAGGCGTGCGCCACCACCGCCCGGCTGTTTGTTTCTTAATAACTAGAAGGATGTGTGAATTATTTAAAAGATATAGTTAGGGTAAGAGCTTGCTTAATTTTCCATCCGTCTGAATTGTATAGGTAATTTTGGCCTGAATTATCTAGGTAGTTCTATGAGGCTATAGATTTGGACAAGATGAAGGACTCACATGATAAGTCAGACCTCAGGCGAGTCACTTGTTTTTTTTTGTTTTTTTGGTTTTTCGAGACAGGGTTTCTCTGTGTAGCTTTGCACCTTTCCTGGATCTCGCGCTGTAGACCAGGCTGGCCTCGAACTCACAGAGATCCGCCTGCCTCTGCCTCCCGAGTGCTGGGATTCAAGGCGTGCGCCACCACCGCCCGGCGAGTCACTTGTTTTTTAAGAAGTCCTTCAAGAGGACAAACAAATGTACCATGCAGAGTATTCTATATCTATACTTGAAAGCTAAGAAAATGCATTTTTCTTACCAAAGTAAAGTATACATTTAAAACAATCTGACCGTCATTTATAGTACGATGGTATTTAATAGATTTAGAAATTATTTTCCTTGCCCCATTAAATTCCCAAAAGTAATTCCACCATACTCACATAACCTTTTGTTTTGTTTTGTTTTCTATTTGTATACTTCTTTCTCTTGCAATGTAATTATCAAGATCAGACCCTGGAGAAATGGCTTAGGGGTTAAGAGTGCTTCTGCTCTTCTAGAAAGCCTGAATTCAGTTCCCAAGATGCATATCACAACTTCCTTTATTTTATCTTCAGCTCCAGGGGATCCAACTCCTTTTATGGCCTCTGGGTACACATACACACATGGCACACACACATAGAATCATATATAAATCTTTTAAATAGCCAGACACTATGAAAAATACTTTCTTTTTTTTTTTTTTTTGGTTTTTCGAGACAGGGTTTCTCTGTGTAGCTTTGCGCCTTTCCTGGAACTCACTTGGTAGTCCAGGCTGGCCTCTGGCCTCGAACTCACAGAGATCCGCCTGGCTCTGCCTCCCGAGTGCTGGGATTAAAGGCGTGCGCCACCACCGCCCGGCGAAAAATACTTTCTTGTAAAATGTCAATGTTGCTGGTCAGTGGTAGCACATGCCTTTAATTCCAGAACTCAGGAGACAAAGGCAGGCATCCGGTCTACGGAGTGAGTTCTAGGACAGCTAGGGCTACACAGAGAACAGAGGTCATTGTTAATTGGACTCAACATGGACTTTTTTTATTTTAATCAGTCTTAAGAGCAGTGACTTTCAGGAGGAGGAGGAGGGGGAGGGGGAGGGGGAGGAGGAGGAGGAGGAGGAGGAGGAGGAGGTGGTGGTGGTGGTGGTGGTGGTGGTGGTGGTGGTGGTGGTGGTGGTAGTGGTGGTGCACGCCTTTAATCTCAGCACTCGGGAGGCAGGTGGATCTCAAGGCCAGTCTGGTCTATAGAGCAAGTTGAGGACAGGCTCCAAAGCTACACAGAGAAACCCGTGGGGGTGGGGAAGCAGTGAGTTTTAGCACAAATAATTGAACTAGAAAATGTCACATCACTTTTCAGTTACAAGAAACCTGAATTCATATCTGAAGGTGTTCATTATGATTGAGAGTATATAATAATTAAGAGTTCAAAATAAGAGATAATGTTTTCTCGCCGGGCGGTGGTGGCGCACACCTTTAATCCCAGCACTGGGAGGCAGAGGCAGGCAGATCTTTGTGAATTCAAGGCCAGCCTGGTCTACAGAGTGAGTTCCAGGAAAGGTGCAAAGCTACACAGAGAAACCCTGTCTCCAAAAACCAAAAAAAGCCGGGCGGTGGTGGCGCACGCCTTTAATCCCAGCACACGGGAGGCAGAGGCAGGCGGATCTCTGTGAGTTCAAGGCCAGCCTGGTCTACAGAGCGAGATCCAGGTAAAGGCGCAAAGCTACACAGAGAAACCCTGTCTTGAAAAAAAAAAAAAAAAAAAACCAAAAAAAAAAAAAAAAGAGAGAGATAATGTCTTCTCTATTTTATTTTAATTGAAAATAGTTACTTTTGTACAATGTATTCTGATCATGGTTTCCTCTCCTAATCTCCCAGATCCTCCTCACCTTCCCAACCTTCAAACTCCACACCTCTTTTTTTCTCTCTCTGAAGATAACAAGCAGGCAAATTTAAAAAGACAAGCAAACAAGAATAAAACAAAATGAACACCTTAACAACAACAAAAAAAGAGATCACAAGAAATGCATTCGCACACAGATACACACAGACACACACAACCTATAAAAACAAAATCTAAAACCATAATATGCAAGCAAAGAACCAGTAAGGTTTAAAAATAAAGCCCAGCTGGGCAGTGGTGGCACACACCTTTAATCCCTTCACTTGGGGGACAGAGGCAGGTAGATCTCTGTGGCTTCCAGGCCTGCCTGGTCTACAAAGCATTCCAGTACAGCCAAAACCGTTACACAGAGAGACTCTGTCTCAAAAAACCAAAAAACCAAACAAAACAAACAAACAATATGAGACCAAAAGTATTTTTTAAGTTTGTTTTGTGTTGGCTGTCTTCTGCTGGGCATAGGGCTTGCCCTTAAGTATGGTTTGTATACCCAGTGAGATTCCTTTGGAGAAACTAAGTTTTCCTTTGCAAGCTCTTGTTAGTTGGAGGTAGCTTCTTGGTTGGGGATGGGAGCTTGTGTCTACTTCCCCATCTTAGTGGTGGGACCCCCATTTGATTTTGGATCCCTGCAGCCATATGCATGCTGCCACAGTCTCTGAGTTCATATGTGCATCAGTTCTGTCTTAGGGTTTCTATTGCTGTGAAGAGACACCATGACCACGGCAAGTCTTATGAAGAAAACACTTAATTGGCATGGCTCACTTACAGTTTCAGAGATTCAGTCCATCATCACCATAGTGTGCGGGCAGACATGGTGCTGCCTAGATCTGGGCTTGTAGGTAACCGGAAATTGGCTGAGCATAGGAAACTTCAAAGCCCACCCCCATGGTGACACACTTCCTCCAACAAGGCCATACCTACCCCAACAAAGCCACACTGCCTAATAGTGCCACTCCCTATGAGATTCAATCTTTCCAGCTTCCTCTTTTGCAGAATTCCCTGAGCCCTGAAGGGAGGGATTTGATGAAAATATCCCATTTAGGATTGAGTGTTACAAGATCTCTCAATCTCTATACATTTTCCAGTTGTGTGTCTCTATTAGTTCTCATCTACTGTAGGAGAAAGCTGCTCTAATGATGGCTGAGCAGGACACTGATCTGTAGGTATAGCAGAATGTCCTTAGGCGTTATTTTATTGCTATGTTCATTTAGTAGAATGATAGTATTTAATTTTCCCCTAGGTCCCCCCACATAACTGTGTCCACCCAAAGCTTACTATTGATTAGATATTTCCAAAAAAATCATTTCTTCATTAAGAAATTTAGATCTGCAAAATTTGCTCTTGAGTAATTGAGTTTAATAGAATAATATTTGCAAAAGATTGTTTGCCTAGAAAAATGTTTTTATAGATAAAAATGAATTGATGGATCACATGTTCACTAAAAATTTAAATGGAAAAGTATTTGTTCTCAGGAATATTACATAAAGTTAAGTTTTGAAGACATTAACTTGATGTCATTGACTGTTTACTTTTATTTTCCTTCAATATTAGGGGTTGAGTCCAGAGCCTTGCACATGCCAGAACAGTGCTTTATCAACTAAGCTATATCCCTAGCTAAGTCCTGTTGACTTTGAGTCAGGTTCTTTAAAGGGCATATTAAAGTTTATTCAGGAAAAATATTTTCTGAAGCAGAAGCCATGTATTTATATCCCAAATAGCTGAGATTATACACCCGCACTACCAAGACATACATGTCTTGCTTGTTTTGTTTTGAGACAGAGTCTCACTGTATAGCTCTGGCTAGCCTAGAACTCACTATGTAGAACAAGCTAGCCTTGAAACTCATAAAGATGTACCTGCCTCTGCCTACTGATCATTTGGATTATAGACATGCAACACTTTTGCCCAGCCCTCATTTGCTTATTTTACATGTGTGTCCATGCCATGGCACACATGTGGAGATCAAGAAAACTTGCAGAAATTGTTTCTCTCCTTTTATCTTGTGGGTTCCAGGGATTGAACTCAGGTTGTCAGACTTAGTGGTGAGCTTCCTTACCAACTGAGTTGTCTCACTAGCCCATACATAATTTTTGAGTAAATAAATTTTAATAAGTAGTTTCTAATAATTTTGAATGAGTCCCTTTTATGTCTATAGTTTTTATTCTATTATAAATATTATAGTAAATTATTGTTAATAAATTTTTTGGAGTTTATAATTCTGAAAATTAGGGAATGTTGTTCTTTCTAATCAACATAATAAATGTGTAAGTGTAGCTGAAGTTAAAAGATACTCTGTAATTGCATAAATTTTTTATCAAATTATTGCAGCTATCAAAGGAAGTCTCCCCCTTTGGATCTTGATAAGGATCTAAAACAAAATAAGTAGTCAGTTGTGTCATCCTGTAATGTGTGTGTGTTAGAGTAGGTGGGCATATCAGCTGAATGTTGTAATAAGGTAAAAAAGAAGAGAGAATCATTATCATTATTTCACTAAAATTAATTAATCAGAGCCTTTTCTGGAGATGGAGGCAAGGTTTAGTTAAGGATGATGATACTTTCTTTCCTAATAACTGTAGCATCTCTAAGGTTGGCTTTCTCACTTTCTTTCTGTAGGTGATTTACTGTTCTTTTGGTGGAACATCCAAAGGGCTGCACTTCAATAACTTAATAGTTGGACTCGTGCTCCTTACGAGAGGCAAAGATGAAGAGAAAGCAAAATGTAAGTTCTTTTATCTTAGTGATAATAATATCATATGTGCAGAATAATTAACCTCAAAATCTGAAAGACAAAGACTGTAATGGCTATTTTTCCAAAGATACACAATTGACCAATAAGCAATTCAGAAATGTTCAGTATTGTTAGTCATCAAAGTCAACTAAAACTACTGAGATACTACATTACACTTTAAAATATAATAACAGTGCTGACAAACATTTGTAAAAATTGCAGTCTGTTGTTGGTTGTTTTTTATTCTTTGCTCTTTTGCGGGGGCCCACTACCCAGTTCCCAAATAAATACATACACTGAGGCTTATTATGACTTATAAATGCCCAGCCTTAGCTTGGCTTATTTCTGGCAAGCTTTCCTTAACTTAAATTATCCCATCTACCTTTTGCTTCTGGGCTTTTTCCTTTTCTTCTTTTTTGTTTTTTGTTTTTCGAGACAGGGTTTCTCTGTGTAACTTTGCATCTTTCCTGGAACTCACTCTATAGCCCAGGTTGGCCTCGAACTCACAGAGATCCTCCTGCCTCTGCCTCCCGAGTGCTGGGATTAAAGGCGTGCGCCACCACCGCTCGGCTCCTTTCCTTCTGTATATCTTACTTTCACTCTTAGTCTGTGGCTGGCTGTGTGGCTGGAGAGCTGTCCCCTAGGATATTCCTCTCCTTGTTCTCTTTCTTCTTCATCCTTTCTTCCCAGATTTCTCTTCCTGTTTATTCTCTCTGCCTGCCAGGCCCTCCTGTCCTTTCTCCTGCCTTGCTATTTACTGTTCTTCTCTTTGTTAGACCATCAGGTGTTTTAGACAGGCAAAATATCACAGCTTCACAGAGTTAAACAAATGCAACTTAAGAGAATGCAACACATCTTTGCATCATTAAACAATTGTTCCAGAGCATAAACAAATGTAACACATCTTAAATTAATATTCCACAACACTAGTCCTTAATCTTTGCTGTTGGGAGTGTAACATGATAGTGTTACCAATTTAGATTTTGTTTTTAGTCACTTATTTTTGGTGCTGGTAATTAAACTCAGGGCCTATCTGGATGGATTTTTTAAAAAAAAAATATAAGTTTCTGTACAATATAACCTTACTTTACAAGGAAAGGAAATCAAGTACTGATTGATCCATGCTGAAACATACATAAGGCTTAAAAATATTTTACTGAGGGGCTGAGGAGTTGGTTCAGCAGTTAAGAGCATGTATTGGCTCCTGGAGAGGACCTGAGTTTGGTTCCAGCACCCATGTCATGAGGCTCACAACTGCCTGTAACTCCAGCTCCAGAGGATCTGACATCCTCTTCTGGCCACTGTATGTACTTCCCATATACACATATATACATAAATAAAAATATATTTAAAACACATATATATCTTTACATACATATACACACACACACACACATATATATTACTGAATACTGGGTGCTATTTATAGTAGATCACATATGATTATAGTTTCGTGTTATTTCTAGAATAAGCAAACCCATAGAGGCAGAATATAGTAGGTGAGTGACACTTAGGATACTTGGCAGACAGGGAAATGGATAATGAATAGTTGCTGATAGGTATGAGGGGTTTTGGTTTTTGCTTCCCCCTTTTTTGTGGTTTTATAGATCTAGACCAGAGCCTCACACATGCTGCCACTCAGCTACATTATTAGTAGGTATGAGATTCCTTTTTAGGTTGATAAAAGTGTTCTGAAATTAGTAGTAATTGTTGTACAACCTTATGCATATACTAAAAATCACTAAAATGTGTATTTTTAAAAGATTAATTTTTCACTAAGATTAATTATATTTCACGAAGGCTGTTAACTTAAAAAAATCTGGCTGGGTGTGGTGGCACATTTTTTTAATCCCAGCACTGAGAGGCAGAAACTAGGTAAGATATCTGTGAATGTGAAGTCAACCCAGTCTACATCATGAGTTCCAGGCCAGCCAGGGCTACATAGTGAGACCCTGTCTCAAAAAACAAAACAAAACAAACAAACAAACAAACAAAAACCTGAAGACATAAAATTAGTAGTCTGTATTTTCCTTACTTTATAAAATAAAAAGTTTATATTTCACCTTTGGAAATTAATTTTATTCTGTAAATGAACTGTGGTCAGAAAGTATTTTTTCTGAAAGTTTCATTATACATCCTACGTTGCCTGGAATACTTATATATCAGCCTTCTATCTTGCCAGACTAAAAAGGATTTAAAATACAGAGAACTAACTACATATGGTGACACATATTGTCCAGCACTGGAGAGGCAGAGGCAGGAGAATGGCTGGCTCATCAGATGTAGCTCAGTGGTAGAGTACTTGGCATGTACAAGGTCCTAGATTTTATTCCCAGCAGAAGGGAGAGATCTAATATGCATATGTATATATTTATATATATATAAGTACTATACAGTTTTATGTATTTAGGTACATTTTGGAATGCTTGAGGGGTCTTGGAACCAAGGCTCCATGACACCAAGACTACAACTACAGTTTACCTTTCTGTGTGACAGTGTTCAAACCGTAACAGCTTTTCAGAAGTGCATAAGATAGGTACTTTTAGCCAGGCAATAGTGGCATACACCTTTAATTTCATCATTTGGGAGGACAAGGAGAAGAACTCTGTGAGTTCAAGGCCAGCCTGGTCTACAAAGTAAGTTCTAGGACAGCCAAAGCTGTTAGACAGAGAAACCTTATCCTATAGAGGAAAAAAAATTCTGTCATCTGCATTCTACATCTTGATGTTTAAAAAAAAGTTTGCTCTGTTTGGTAGCACATCCCTATAATCCCAGCACTTGGGAGATAGAGGCAAGAGGATCAGTAGTACTTCAGGGTTATCCTCAGCTACATAGCAAGTTGGAGGCTATATGACACCCTGTCTTTTTTGTTTTGTTGGCTGGTTTTTTGAGACAGGTTTCTCTGTGTATCCCTGGCTGTCTTGGAACTCACTCTGTAGACCAGGCTGGCCTCAAACTCAGAGATCCACCTGTCTCTGCCCCTCAAGTGCTGATCAAAGGCATGTGCCACCACTGCTGTCATGATACCCTATCTTTAAAAACAAAACAACAAAAAGAAAATATGATGAGTTATCTTTTAAGTCTTTTCAAAATCCCAGTATTTCTGCCCTTCTTAGAGATTAGTGCTCTTAGAAATTTAATGATTTCTTTTACCTTTTGCACATTTTTATGTCTTATATTCATATCTGTAATCATATTTTCAAGAGTCTGGCAGGTGCTCAACTTTTAAAATGTCTATGATTATTTTGAAATTTGCTTTTTTCCCTTACTATCATATTTCTTAATGCTTACTCATCCTGAAGTACCTATTCTGTTTAACTGCTGTATGGTATTTCATTATCTATACTCATACATCTCAGTTTGTTTCTTTTCTCGATAAATATTTATCTTCTTTCTAATATTTACTCTTTCAACAGTAGTTAAGTGAACATCTTGCATTTTGTGTACAAGTATCAACATTCCTAAAAGTTAAAATGGGATTGTGTAGGAGTAGAGTTTCTGACACATACCTTTACCTTTTCTAGATTTTGGCAAATCCAGAATGGTTACATTTATTTATATAGTCATTCACATTTTATAAAAGGTCCTGGCCAGGGGATAGTGGCACATGCCTTTAATCCCAGCACTGTGGAGACAGAGGCAGGAAGATCTCTGAGTTCAAGACCAGCCTGGTCTACAGAGCAATTTCGAGGACAGCCACAGCTACACAGAGAAACCCTGTCTCATAAAAGAATGCAAAACAAAAAACATAAAAAAAAAAACCCCAAAACAACAAAAACCAAAAAGAAAAGGGGGGAAAAAAGAGGGGGAGATCCTGTTTGTTCCAGTCTTTGCTAACACTTGGTATTAATTACATGTATGAAAAAATACCACACAATTATTTTGAAGAGTAAATTAGGCATGGTGGCACACACTTGTAATCATAGTTCTCAAGAGGCTGAGGCAGGAGTACTGTAAATTCAAGGCCAGCTGAGATTGCAGAGCAAGACCATCTCAAGAAGAGGAGGAAGAGGACGATGAAGATGACAACAACAATTATAAATTGTACTTACAAAGTGCAATTGTGCCTTCCTCTTCTCTCCTTACTTTTACTAACTATACTTGATGTATGTTAAGAGTAATTTATATTTTTCTTTCTCTTAGATATTTTTAGTCTTTTTTCAAGTGAATCTGGGAGCTATGTTGTACGGGAAGAAATGGAAAGAATGCTCCATGTGGTGGATGGCAAAGTCCCAGATACACTCAGGAAGTGTTTCTCGGAGGTATGTTTAAAGATTTATATTTCATTTCTTAATGTTGATGAAGTATTAACTCTTAGTTTGTGATAAATATGGCTGTGATGGATGTTTGCATAAGAGGGTTCTTGGCATTTTTATATTTAATAATTAATGTTTCAACTCTTTATGTGCTGTGATCAATAAAGAGTTATTCCTATTATCTAATAGTCCAACAGGAAACTAAATTGGAATAAGGGGACCAGTATTGATGGGGAGGAGTCAGGTGAGTGTTGCTTTTTAAGGTAATTAGAAAAATCTGTCAGATAAAGTGAAATTGAAGAGTTTATGTCTCAGATGGGTATTGTGGTGCATACCTTTAATCCCAGCACTTGGGAGGCAGAGGCAGGCGGATCTCTGTGAATGCTAGGCCAGCCTGGTCTACAGAGTGAGTTCCAGGACAGCTAAGGCTGTTACACAGAGAAACCTTGTCTCAAAACAACCAAAACACACACATACACAAAAGAGTCCATGCCTCTCATTGCCTCCGTGTTTGTGAATTAGAAAATCCTCAATTCTGGGACTGAAGAGATGGCTCAGTGGTTAACAGTGCATGCTACTCTTCCAGAGGACTCTAGTTTGAGTCCCTGCTCCCAGTTTGGGTGGTTAACAACTTCACAGCTCCAGAGAATCTGGCATTTTGCTTTCTGGGGGCACCTGCCCTCATATGCACATACCCATACACATGAACATAATTTAATAATAAACTAAAACTTAAAAAAAAAAGAAAATCTTCAATTTTTCCATAAAGGCAATTAATTGTTTATACTTACATTATAATTCTACACACTCCCACACAGGTACACTGACTCCATTGCACATGCAGGCTCCTGCAGAGATCATAGGTGTGCACTAGATCTATTTAGCATTTCTATGTGTTAGGTATTATATTTTTGGTTCTGCCATACTTACTTGAAATTGCTGTAAAAGTATTTTTTAGTATTTCACTATAAATTGGGCTATGCTTTGTTTCTTTCTGGTAACAAAAAATTGCTGGTAAAAAAAAAATCTTTGCAAATTGAATTAATGGATTTTTCACAAAGATAGCAAATGCATTAATATTCTATTCTTTTTTTAGAGAAAATAATATAGTTTTGCATTTGAATAAGACTTATTCAGACATTCTTATTTTGCTGATGGGAACTAAAAGTGGTTGGCCACTTGTTCCTTAAAATTATTGACAGTAGCATATGCATTAGGTGGTAATTAGCGCTATAAGGAAATTAAGTAGAACAAGAGAGGTAGGGGAGGAAGCAGCTAAGTATTCTCTTCTGTATGGGATAACTATGAAATTCTGTCAGATAAAGTGAAACTCAAGCAAAGGATTGATATGCATGATGATACCTACCTTCCATGAAGAGAGTACAGTAAAGACCCTGAGGTGGAAATGTGTTTTGCCTGTCAAAGAAGCAATAACAAGGCCCATTTAGTTGGAATGGAATTAGCAGTGGAATAGTAGGAATCAATGTGGTATTATTGTAGTGTGAAGGATATCTATTAGTTACTTTTCTGTTGCTGTAATAAAACACCATGACCAAGACAACTTATAAAAGAGTGTGTTTAGTTGAACTTAGTTTAAGAGGTTAGAGTCCATGGCAGTGGAGCAAAGGCATAGAGGCAGGAACAGTTTAAGGCCAACACCTTAATCCACACAGCACTAGGTGAGAGAATGGGAATGGTGGGAGGCTTTTGAAGCCTCAGATCCCACTGCCATGAGATACCCCCTTCTTACAAGGCCACACCTCCTTATCCTTCCCAAACAGTTCTACCAACTGGTGACCAAGTATTCAAAGTATTCAAATATTCATACTTGTATATGCTATGGGGGCTAGTCTCATCATCGCCATTGGAGGTTATAGTGTGAGTCTTTTGATTTTTACCTTAAGTACAATAGAAACCCTTGGAGGGTTTTGAGCAGATGAGTAATATGTAAGGTCCTTCTCCCTTCTATCCCTCCTTTTAAAATTTGCAGTATTAGCAGTTGAACACAGAGCCTTGTGTATGCTAGGCAAGCATTCTACCATTGAGCCATATCTCGAACCCTTTTCATTTTTATATGAGACAGGGTCTCCCTAAGTTACTTATGCTGACTTTTAACTTTCTTTACAGTCCAGGCAGGCCTTAAACTTGCTATCCCCCTGTCTCTTTCTTTAACTTTTAAGTAGCTGGGATTATAGAAATGCCTACTACACTGGCAAGATGCCAGCATTCATTTTTTTTGAGACAGGTTCTAATGTACCCTTAGGTGGGAGTCCTGGTAAGAGGCATGATTATTTAGATCATAGCATAGAGCAGTGAGATAGTGAGAGATTATTAAATTCTCTACTTAACTATCTTTAAATGTTTTAATTTCAGTTACTATGGTGTATGTATATGATGTGTGTGTATGTGTGTTGGTGTCATGCCATGGTATGTATACATATAGAAATCAGAGGATCGCTTTGTGGAGTCAGGTTTTCTCCTTCCATTAGTACTGGGGTTCTGGGAATGGAGCTCAGGTCACCAGGTTTGCTTAGTCAGTGCTTTTACTTCCTGAGCATCTTGCCAGCCCTAATTGCTGTCTATTTTGAAGGTGGACTTCCAGAATCTTTTCTTATTTTGGTTACAAGCTAGCATAGAATAGAAAATCATGGTTTGAATAAAGATTTAGAATTCCTGTTAACTGAGATGGCTACAAACTACAGAAGGTGGTTTGGGAGTTGGTTTCGAGTGATTTAGTTTACTGTGACCTGCAGCCGTTTGTTTTGTGATGGCGTCTCCTGTGTTGCCCAAGTTGGTCTTCATCTCATATTCGAAATTAAATCTGTTTTAGTCTTCCAAATATCTGGAACTCCTGGTGTGTTCTGTGTTTTTATTGTTCTAGTGTATGCACATGAGTGTGTGGTTGCATACACCTGTACACGTGGATGTGGCAGAGCAGGAAGTTGGGTATCTTCCTTTGTTAGTATGCTTTATTGCCTTGAGACAGTGTCTCTCACTGAACCAGAAGCTTGCCCTTTAGGTGAGCTCTAAGGGATTTATTGAGCTCTAGGGATATATCTGCCTGTTTCTGTCTCCAGTGCTGGAGTTAAAGGCATTTGCAGCCTTGATCAGCTTTTTACATGGCTATTGTCTTAGTTAGGGTTTTTTTTTTTTTTTTTTTTTTTTTTTTTGGTTTTTCGAGACAGGGTTTCTCTGTGTAGCTTTGCGCCTTTCCTGGATCTCGCGCTGTAGCCCAGGCTGGCCTCGAACTCACAGAGATCTGCCTGGCTCTGCCTCCCGAGTGCTGGGATTAAAGGCGTGCGCCACCACCGCCCGGCTAGTTAGGGTTTTTATATAATGATGTGATAAAGCAAAATGACCAAAAGCTGCTTGGAAAAGTTTACTTCAGTTTAAGGTTCTACATTACAGTCCATCACCGGGGGAAGTCAGGGTAGGAACCTGGAGGCAAATCTGATGCAGAGGCCATGGAGGGGTGCTGCTTATTTGCTACCTGCTTCCTGGCTTTCTTAGCCTGCTTCCTTATAGCACCCAGGACCAAGGTTGTACCATCCACAATGACTGGACCCACCCACATCAGTTGTCATTTAAGAAAATGTACTATGGACTTGCCTATAAGCAAATCTTATAGAGGCATTTTCTCAATAGAGTCTCTTTTTCCAAATGACTAGCTTGTGTCAAATTGACAGAAAACTAGCCAGCATAGGTACAAAGAATTTGAACTTGCTTTTGTTTGTGTGTTTGTTTGCTGGGATTAAAGTCACGCATCACCACTGCCCAGCTGATGTATTTTATTCTTAATCATGTGAAACGTGATCCTAATTAGTCTTAACAATGAAAACCTGAAGTCAGATATTAGGGTGAAAGCTGAAAGGTCAGAGAAGCAGAGCAGCCAGCCACCAGAAATCTCAGACCAAATGGAGGGGATCCAGTCTCCATGAATCCTCAGACTGAATGGGGCAGAGATTCTGTCTCCACCCACTTTATATTCCTGTCTCCACCTCCCTAGTGCTGGGATTAAAGGCATGAGTGTCTCATATGCAAGGGTCAAAGGCATGATACTCCATAGTGCTGGAATTAAAGGTGTGTGCCACCACTGCCTGGCCTCTATGGTTAACTAGTGGCTAGCTCTGCCCTCTGATCTCCAGGCAAACTTTGTCAGAACACAAACAAAATATCATACAACAATCACATGTATAAATGTATAAGTGAAAGAGAGCAAGTGAGCACATAGGTGCTCTCAGAGCTATAGTCATTGGATCTGTCACATGTATTTGTGAGCCACCTGATATGGGTGCTGGGAATTGAACTCTGGTCCTTTGGAAGAGTGTATGCTCTGAGCCATCTCTTAAGCACTTCCTTCTGAGTTTATATAAAAGTTTCATTATATAGTCATGATTGATTATATGATCATTGGTGATCACTTCAATCTTCAACCTCCTTTCTGCCCCGGTGTTTGGCAGATGGGCTTGATATTAATCATTACTATCAAACCTGTAATGGTTATTTAGTGAAGATACCTAGTGGCTGTGAGCTGTCATACAGCCTAGAAATAGACAGACATTTTATAGTGTTCAAGAGTTTTTAGCCAGGCGGTTTTGGCACATACGCCTTTAATCCCAGCCAGCACTCGGGAGACAGAGGCAGGCGGATCTCTGTGAGTTCGAGGCCAGCCTGGGCTACAGAGTGAGTTCCAGGACAGGCTCCAAAGCTACACAGAGAAACCCTATCTCGAAAAACCAAAAAAAAAAAAAATTAAAAAAAAGAGTTTTTAAGGTGTAAGTTAGGAAAAAGGGAAGAAAGCCAAGTACAGAATTCATAAAGTCATAATCATCTTTTTAAAAAGCTAGTTGTAATAAATGATGCCATTACTTTTAAGACTTATCCCAGTATCTTAAGAGTTAACTGTGTAGAAAGTGTACAAACCTGTGGAATTTATACTTCTACTTTAGTTTTAGATAAACATGGATAGAGTAGGAATAGGACAGAATCCTTAATACCCAACATGTTTGCAGTGTCTTCTTGTGTCCCTGTCTCAAATTTGAAACAAGACTGTTGGTGTTGTCCCCATGGTTTGCATTGCATTGATGCTGAGTGTTCTCAAACTAGTAGGCTAAGCATATTGTTGTACTTAGTAAGATCCTACTAAACAATGTAGGAGTTGTTTTTTTTTTTTTTTTTTTTTTTTTTTAAAAGAGGGAAAGAACCAGTGCTTTGGGGAACAGACAGACCACACAGTTCTTTTTTTTTTTTAAGATTTATTTATTTATTATATATACAGTGTTCTGCCTGCGTGCGAGATCTCATTACAGGTGGTTGTGAGCCACCATGTGGTTGCTGGGAATTGAACTCAGGACCTCTGGAAGAGCAGCCAGTGCTCTTAACCGCTGAGCCATCTCTCCAGCCCCCAGGAGTTGTTTTATATCCTTCAACATTTGTATTAGGATTGGAGTTGTTAGGCCCCTGAATGTCATTCTTTGTCATATTTCCCGTGAGGTTTTTCTTTTCCTCAGAGCAATGTCTAGTCCCTACTAAACTTAAGAGCTATTGTCCAAGCAAAGGACTTGACCTAGAAAGCAGTTTCAGCATAATCTTCTTCAATCTAGATAGGTTTTTTTTTTCTCTAGAGATTTAGTAATGCAATTACTTGTAAAAAGACATGAACTTGAGAGGATTATGTGTGGAGGGGATTTGGAGGAAGTTAGAGGGGTGAGATGGGGAAGTAGAGATGATCATATTTCATTGTTTACTTGTATGAAATTTTCAAATAATTCTTTTAAAAAGTAAAGCAAAAAATGGGAATGAACTTGCTTCTTTTGGTGTGGGTTGTCGAGACAGGGTCTCATTATGTAGCTTTGACTGTTCAAGGACCTGTCCTTGCTCTGTAGACCAGGCTGGCCTCAAATTCAGAGATCCTCCTGCCTCTGCTTCTCAAGTGGTGGGATTGATTAAATGCCTGCGCCACTAAGCTGATCTAACTTACTTGTTTCTGAACTCTTAATTGATTTCTGGGATCCTGATTGTCTATTTTGGAAGTCTATTTAGACTTCTAAATAATTGTTTTTAATTTGCAAATGAAATTTAAGTGTTTTAATTTAGACAACTTTAGTTAAATATGTACTAATTTAGGTTACATATTGCTAAAAGATAAAGATAAGTGAAAATTTGGAATAATTTTTTATTCCAAATATAAAATTCTTAATATAAATTTTTAAAAATAAGGGAGCCCAGTGGTGGCGGCGCACGCCTTTTGTCCCAGCACTTGGAAGGCAGAGGCAGGTGGATCTCTTGAGGTCGAGGCGAGTCTGGGCTACAGAGTGAGTTCCAGGACAGTCAGGGATACACAGAGTGACCCTGTCTTGAAAAACAAACAAAATAAATAAATAAATAAAAATAAAGGAAACATCTTTTTTTATATTTTATTTTTATGTGTGTGCCTCTTTTGCCTTCATGCATATATGTGCCTGGTTCCTGAAGAGCCAGAAGAAGCTGTTGGATCTTGTGAAACTGGAGTGAGGAATTTTGTGAGCCATCATGTAGGTGCTTGTAACTGAGCCTGGGTCCTCTTCGTTATCAGCCTATGCTTTTAACTGTTGTGCCATTTCTCCAGCACTAGAGTATTAAATATCAAAACAAATGTAAATATTGCCTATTGGTTTCGGGATATACCTTAGCAAATAAAGTGTAGGGGTTTTTTATTTTGTTTTCTTCTTATTATTATTTTGATTTTTCCAGACAGGGTTTTTCTATGTAGCCCTGCTGGCCTTGAACTCAGAGATCCACCTGCCTCCTGAGTGCTAGGGTTAAAGGTGTGAGCCACCATGCCCGGCTAAAATGTAGTTTATTATTGGCAGTTGACTGCTTTAATGAATTGATAATAATTTACAGTTAGCACATAAGTTTTAACTGAAGTGCAACTGTTTTGGTTTTCAAATAACAGTTTGCTTCCCGAAGACATGTGTCCGGTGGTATTTAGGCAGCCCTGAGTTTAGGTATAGATGGGAAAATGTCAACCCCTGATAATTCCAGGCTGTTCAGGCTCCAAGTACTACACCTAAAATTGTACTAAACATGTTTTCTTACTTTACTTTCAGGGTGAAAAGGTGAACTATGAAAAATTTAGAACTTGGCTTCTTCTAAACAAAGATGCTTTTACCTTCTCTCGCTGGCTGCTGTCTGGGGGTGTGTATGTGACCCTCACTGATGACAGTGACACTCCTACTTTCTACCAAACTCTGGCTGGAGTCACACACTGTAAGTAATGACACTATATTGTTTTCCTTCTACCTTTAATGTAATTGACTGATAATAACAGAATATGCTTATAAAGATGAAAAAGTTTTTGTCGCTGCTTTTTTCTTCCAATATATAATCAAATAAGATAGTGGAGCATGGAAAATACAGCCCTTTACTAATTATCCTTAATAAACCTATATTAGTTTTCTGAGCTGTTTGCCACAGATTACCACAAATCATAAACTGAAATAAGAGAAATCTAGTCTCCAGGAGTTCCATTTGCTGAAACGAAGGTATTGATAGAGCTCTGTTCCTGTCAGAGAAAGAACTTAATTCTTCTTCCTGCTTTCAGTAATCCCAAGCATTGCATGGCTTATGGCTACGTCATATCTCTTTTGGTTTTCATGGGCCTTCTCTGTATGTCTTTTGAGTTCTTTCTTTCTTTTTTAACATCCTCAGAGCTGACCTCAAATGTTATGTAGCCAAAGGTGACATTGACTTTTTTATTCTCCCAGCTCTACTTCCCAAGTGCTAGGATTACAGGCATGTCTCACTACATCCAACTTTCTGTGTACTTTGGGTTTGTCATTGGATTTAAGGCCCAGACTAAATCCATAACTTCATTTCCAGCTGCTAATAAATAAATTCATTATTTCTTCAGAAACCCTTTTTGTCAAAAAAAAAAAAAAAAAAAAAAAAAAAAGAATAACCACACTGTGAAGTTCCAATTGATAATGAATTTTTGGGAGACACTATTCAGTTATACAATCTTGACATGGGATCCTAATTAGTCTTAATAATAAAAACCCAGAGTCAGATATCGGGGTAAAAGCTGAAAGATCAGAGTAGCAAAAGAGCAGCCACAGTCACCTCTTACCTCTCTGACTCCTCAGACCAAAAAGGGAGCCAGGGCTGGAGAGATGGCTCAGAGGTTAAGAGCACTGGCTGTTCTTCCAGAGGTCCTGAGTTCAAGTCCCAGCACCCACATGGTGGCTCACAACCATCTGTAATGAGATCTGGTGCCCTCTTCTGGCCTGCAGGTATACATGCAGGCAGAACACTGTATACATAATAAATTTAAAAAAAAAAAAAAAGGGAGCCAGGCTCCTATCTCCACCCCGCCTTATCACTTCCTATCTCCGCCCAACCATATCACTTCCTATTCCTGTCTGTACAGACCTCCAGACCTCTATGGTTAACTAGTGGCTAGTTCCACCCTCTGATTTTCAGGTAAGCTTTATTTGTCAGAACACAAACACAATATCACATTTTCCCCATTTGTCTAAAATAGAGGTTTTAACTAACATAGAAAAACTATATACAATAAGTACAGTAACTTTATACAAATATATACAGGCAGTAATTACATCAACAATGCCTAGTCCATTGACATTTGACAAATTTAGAGGAAATACTCCAGTATCTGTTCTATTTTGGTGAGTTCAAAGGGTTATAACTAATTTACCTTCTATCTAATATGTATTACCAACCCAAAACTATTTTTTAATGTTTCTCAACCTTATACACCTTACATTTCTTTTGTGAGTTTCTTCTCTGAATTTGTTAACAAGAAAAACTGTAACTATAACTATCTAGTCTTCAACTCCCGTAGAGACCTGAGAAGGAAATAATATTAACTGAGTAAGCAGGAAGTGCAAGCAAGTGACTTCACAAATATGTGAGAAATGACAGAAACAGCTGGCTGTCTGGAGAGTCACCCAAGATTCCTTTGTAACATTGGGGCAGCCATCTTCAGCCTGCAGACCTAGAATATCTGACAGACTTTTCTGTGAAGCAGGATATTCTGAAGGGTTGTCCTACCTTGTCTTTGCAAAGTTCGGCAGTCACTTTCTTTTGTTTCCTGCTTGTCCAGTTTGGACAGCATACTGTCAGCAGTTAAGGCAACGGCACTTTCTTGCCCAATGGCTATCTTTTGCCACAAAGAAAGAAAACTCCATGTGGAGTTTTATTGGTGCCCACCATCTTCTCTGAAGTAGATTGGTGTCTCATTGTCATTAAAAAAAAAAAAAAAGAACCAGCTGTGGGGCAGTGGTGCACACCTTTAATCCCAGCACTCAGGAGGAAGAACCAGGTAGATCTCTGTGAGTTTGAGGCCAGCCTGGTCTACAGAGCGAGATCCAGGACAGGCACCAAAACTACACAGAAAAACCCTGTCCCGAAACCCCCCCTCCAAAAAAAGAAAGAATCTATGTTATTAAAACATCTTAAATACCATATTCTGTAGATCTCTGAAGTATTTGAAGACCACCTGTTGACCTAAAATATATGTTTGACCTAGAAAACATACCTAATATGACTACAATTTGAGTGTAATAGGTGACTAACTACTAACCTGCATTTCTTTATTATTCTAAATAGTTTGTAATAATAACATTCAAGAACTAGAAATTTGCATTGCATTGTTAAACGAGCTGTATAGGTAGAATACCTTGAACAAGAGTAGAAATGTATATATAATATGTTCTAACAAAAATAACCTCAATTTTGTATCAGAATACAAAAATCCAAGCCAGTGTAAAATATTTAAAACTAGTAGTTGCTTTTTTGGTTTAAAAGTAGAATCAATAATCTACCTTTTTATCCTATCCTTTCTGTAGCATATGTACAGTATAACAAAAATAACCTCAATTTTGTATCAATATACAGAAATCTAAGCCAATGTAAAATGTTAAAACTAGTGGGTTTTTTTTTTTTGTTGTTAGTTTTGTCTAAAAATAGAATCAGCCGGCGCAGTGGCACATGCCTTTAATTCCAGCACTCGGGAGGCAGAACCAAGGCAGATATCTGTGAGTTCGAGGCCAGCCTGGTCTATAGAGCAAGATCCAGGACAGGCACCAAAACTACACAGAGAAACCCTGTCTTGAAAAACAAAAACAAAACAAAAAAAGTAGATTCAATAATCTACCCATTTATCCTATTTCTATATCTCCCCCTTTTTTCTCAAAACCAGAACCCTCAATCTAATCTCCTTTGTTCAGCTTTTTTCCAGACTACCGTGGGTTTCTCAAATTATATCTGATCAAATGAAAAGCATTTGTTAGTTTTATAGGTTAGTTTAGATTGAAAGGCCATGCTGTTTGATGAACTATGTACTCTTCTAATCAAGACCTCTCTAATCTTTATCAGTTTTGATAATATCCATAGCTTTTCTTCTCCTGTGGAAAACAAAAGCAAAACCTCTTCTCCAACATAACATATATATATCCTGGTTTTCATTCTGAGGTCAACACATCTTTAAAGTATACAGGCTGATTTAATTCAGAAGTTTTTTTTCTATTATCTGATGTCTCTCTGCAGCTGTCATTCCTTTCTCATTAGCATTTAGAAAATTTAAAGTAAATAAAGTATTATTTCTGGGGGTCTTTATTATTCTGTTTATTAGCATATCCTTTAGAGTTCGATTTGATCTCTCTATAACTGCTTGCCCTGTAGGATTGTGTAGTATACTTGTAATATGCTTTATATTGTAATATACAAAAAAACTGTTTCATTTTACTAGATACATATGCTGGAGTATTGTTAGTCTTAATTTGTGCAGGTATACCCATGATGGCCATAACTTCTAACAAATGTGTGATTATAGAATCAGCCTTTTCAGAACTCAAAGCAGTTGCCCATTGAAATCCTGAATATGTATCTATGGTGTGGTATACATATTTTAATTTTCCAAATTCTGTAAAATGAAACACACCATCTGCCAGTTTTCATTTCTTTAAGTACATTTTGGGTTACTTCCTGCAGGTAGTGGAGTTTGGTTGTATAAAGAACAACTAGGGCATTTCCTTGGCTTGTTGCCAAATGATGGTAAAATCTTTTTTTAAAACTTTGCTATTGGTGGTTTTTATGAAATTCTGAGGCATCCAGCACATTTCCTACTAATAACTGATCAATTTCATCATTACATTATGCTAGAAGGCCTGGCAGACCTGAATGGGATCTGATGTGTGTTATATATATATATATATATGGGATAATTCCTTTTCCTGATTATTTCTTGTAACTGAATAAATAATAAAGTCAATTCTGAATCATCTGGTATAAATTCAGTGGTTTCAATATGTAAAACAACTTTTTCTGCATATTGAGAATCAGTAACTATATTAAGACGTTCTGGAAAATCTAATAATGCCATGAAAATAGCATATAGGGGGTTGGGGATTTAGCTCAGTGGGTTCGGTCCTCAGCGCCGAAAAAAAATAGCATATAATTCTTACTTTTGGACAGAATCATAAGGGCTTTGAGCCACTTTATTCAAATTAACCTGCTTTTCCTGATTTATTTGCATTAATATAGAATGTAGGGTCTCCAGAAATTGGGTTTCCTGTACAATGTGAGGAAGGAGCCAGTCAGTTCTCTTTATAAATTGAATTCTCTTGCTTTTGGGATATTTGTTGTTAATCTTTCCCAAAAAATTGCTGCAAGTGATTTGCCAGTGTTGATTTTCTGCCCATAATGAGTCAATTTCAGCATTAGTAAAAAGTACTACAATTTCTGCTGGGTCTATTCCTGCTAAATGACAAAGTCTCAATTTTCCTTTTAGAATCAATTAAGAAACCTTTTCCACATAAGTTTTTAATTTTTTACTCTGTTTATGTGGTAAAAATATCCATTCTAAGATAATATCTTCCCTCTGCACTAAATTCCCTGTAGGGGAATGTGTAGAGGGTAAAGTAACCAGAATGCAATCAAGCTCTAGATCCAAACGATCCACATATGCATGCTGTAATTTCTTTTCTACCAAAGCCAATTCTCTCTCAGCTTCAGCTGATAATTCTCTTGGACTGTTTAAATCCTGCTGTGCCCTGTTCTTTTACAACCTGAATGATCGGTGACTATTCTTTATAATACCCTTTAATATTTTTCCCAGGAAAATACGTTAGTTTATGGTTTGTTTTTGAGATTGGAGGAATGTTAATCTGGTTATTCCATTGCTGTAACAAACCATGTCCCCATGAACTCATTGCTATGTTAGCCACATATGGCTTTATCTCTCTGTC